AAATCACAGCTTCATATCTTAGCAAAAGTATCTCATGATAAGTAAGTTTGAAAAGTATAGAGTAAATTGTTGTGGGAGGTCCTTCTGTCTCTGTGTTGCTTTTATTGGTTAATGAATAAAAAACTGCTTTGGGCCTATGACAGGGAGGAACAGAACTAGGCAGGGAAAGCTAGGCTGTATGCTGGGAGAGAGAAGGGTGCAGTCAGAGAGAAGTCATGGAGCTTCCACCAGAGATAGACGTGCTGAAACTTTGCTGGTAGGCCATGACCTCGTGGGGATGCACAGACTAATGGAGATGGGTTAAATTAAGATGTAAGAGTTAGCCAATAAGACACTAGAGCTAATGGGCCAAGCAATGATTTAAATAATACAGTTTCTATGTGATTATTTCAAGGCTTAGTGGCCGGGAACCAACAAGCGGCCTCCTCGCTACAGTAAATAAAAACATCTCTTGATTAGAGTACTTCATGGATCTTTAATATGCTTTTTGTATATTGATTTTTACATGTACATAATATCATTTTATATGTTCATTTGTTTTGTTTCAGCATCCTTTTTATATGTTCATTGAGAAGCCACAATGGGGTCACATACAAGTTTCAGAATCTCCAAACCTAGAAAGGCTTTAGATTTCTTTCAAATAATGAAAGAATAAGACTAGTATTTAAAAACACACACTGGGAAATGCTAATCAAAGGCACTGATACTACGGTAAAGAGACCAAAAAATAATGACCACAGATGCATCTGGTTTGTCTAAAGTGATCAGGTCGAATTAGTGGGTCTACCTGTGACTGATATATAGTTCTTTAAAGTCTGACTCCAGTGTTTTCCCATTTGACTTCAATGTCTTGATCATCCTTCCGCTTACTACTTCCCTTTTAAGGAAAGAAGATGAATTCATTCTCTGCAAAAGTGTATAAATTCTCTTAGTGACATTTTTTTTCTTTAAATGTCAAGTAGAGGTTATAAGGGGGAGAGTGTAAGATTTTAAGCCTTAAATTATAACCTGACAAGGAGCTTGACAACCAACAACTAATGCTCCTGCTGTAGACATGACAAATGATGCCAGATTTAAAGTCTCTGGTATTATGCAGAAAAGGTAAAAAAGATCACATTTCTATAATATATTTGGCTCCGAGGAGCGTCTTGCTAAGGCTTAAGAAGAAACAGTGTATGGAAATATATGAAAGATTAAAAAAAAACCCCTAAAACTTCAATGTTGCCAACTTTCGACCATCTGTCTCAAGAAATTCAAAACTGAGTAACAACCTCTTCAGGCAGACTTCAACAGTAAGTTACCAGTATCATCCACAAAAACCTGCTGTCTGTGGCCTTCAACTAATCAGAAAAAGGATCTAATAATTGTAGCAAAGGACATTAAAAAATGTTAAATGGAGAAAGACAATGCCCACCAATTATATGGGTAATCTTGAAACACGAGGGTGGCTGGACAGATCACCTCATTTAGACACTAGAAGCCTATTGCAAAGTAGACAATACAATTCTTCCTTACAGCATAATTTGTGCAAAACTCAGGTGGCACAAAATTGCCTAGGTCTTTAAAAGTGGAGAATAAAATAGTAAAGAACCCACATGTATTTTAAGTGAAATTTATTTGTAAGAAAACAGAAATGAATGTGTGAAAACATCTACTTCAAAAATGAGAAAAGAATGTGTCAAACACTTAAAAGACTGGGCAGGGAAGAAATGGCAGTACAAATGTGTAGAGACATAACAAAGGGGGACGAATCCTTGCCACTTCTATGGGGGCAGGATTATGAATAAAGGGAGAAAATTATAGAAAATAATTTTCGATGTAATGAGAAAAATATACAAATGCGATTAGAATCTGGAAGGTATTGTTGGGGTGGTATTAAATTCTTCATCCTTAGGAGCCCCTCTCAGAAGTGAAATAGCACTTCACATAGTTGCTTTTCTGTGAGATTCTGGGGTTCCAAACAAAGATGACATTTCAGATTTAAATTCTGAAACATAAGAACTTTCTCGCAAGGAAATGCACTCTTTATTGTATGAATCAGGAGATGGCCACCATGTGGTCCTCATAGTTGTGAAGCCAAAGGTGGTATTAATAAGACTATGATGCTCACCCTTGCAAGGCTGTTGTCTCGCTTAGGGGAAGAGATTGGAGACCTGGAGAACTGTGGACATGTGGCCACAAAAGTCCAAGAAAATTAATAGAGTTTAATATAAACTCATTTTTATCTGTTAACCATTCTCAAGATTTTGCTAAGCAAGCTCTTTCTTTGATTGAATTATAGCCCAATATGGAGTTTCTTTTTGGGGCCAGTGAGCTTAAACACTCTGAGTGGATAAACACTGGGGATTTTTTTTTTCCTAAGGACTGAAAGAAGGAAGTAGGGTAAACATCTTCAGAAAGAATGGCATATTTAGAGAAAAATATGCAGTGTGCTGCAGCTGGTAAGTCACAGTCTGAATCATGTGCACTTCCTTTTGGTGGAGAAGAGCGGGACAGCAGGAAAAAGGGACATTATTGGTAGGGGCTGGACAGACGGACATGTGAGCAGGAACAGATGTTTAGGGGACTAAAGTAAAAGAATTGCTGTTTAAGGCAGCTTCAGTACTTTTTTGTTTGTTTGTTTATTGTTTCTATCTCAGGGTCAGTTTTTTTTTCTTTCAGAATATTTTAAAGTGAACCATTTTCTTTCATTCCCAGATTCTGCTTGCCAATTGCCTTGGAAGTACTAATTATGGTTTTCCTTATATAGGACAGAAGGGACCTATTATTGTTGAAGGTTCATTTTTTTAAACCATTTATTCCTTGAAACTTAAAGCAGTGAAGAATGATGTCATAGCTATTTTTGCAATCATTTTATTTACAATGACTATAAAAATTACCATGGAAAAATACCATAGCATCTGGAAAATTCTTTGGTAGAATTATATTGGTATAGTGGCCTCTTTTTTCTCTCAGAATTTGAAAATAAGTTATAGATCTAGGGCTTGAAGAAGTCGGTAGACAGATTTGGCATGATTTCACAATAGCATCAGATGAAGGAATAATGGGAAAGTTCTATCTACACTCTTTGTATGTCAAAGGTGAAGCCTGTCCTAAGACTACCATTATTTGGAAATGGAAGTTTCTACTTCGTTTTCAATGGAGCACTATGTCGGAGACGGTTTCACACTTTATTCTAATGTCAATACTTCAAGTAGCAAAATTTAAATTACGGGCAAAAGTTATTCCTGTATCAAGTCCCTAAAAAATATTTTTTTTCTAGTTTGAAAATGCAACATCACAAGATCAACTTTGAGGTCCAAAGCACACAAAGAAGCAAAAGGTTCATAGCTTCTTGAGAATGAAAATAGTGGTGACTTTAGGTGGTCAAGAAGTTGGAAACTGCATTGCAAGTTTGATATTGGTGCATTTTTTTTTTTTTGCCTGTTCAACTTGACCAGATGCTTTCTCAAAGCAGAGGTCCTTTCTAAATAGTGCTTCCCCTTTGAGAAATGGTAGTTGGATGGGATACTTGCTGAACGACTAAATAGTAAGGAAACTACTAAATAACTAAATAGTAAGGAAAGTGATAGGGGACAGCATTGATTGACAGATTTCGAGAAATGAATGCCATCCATGTACAGGAAGCAGTATTGCTAGAGGTGATGAACATGGATGGACAATCAGATTCCCTCGACTGGAAAGCTAGTTCTTTCCACCATTAATGAAAGGATCATGGCTATGCTAGTGAATGTCTCTAGACCTGTTTTTACAGGTTACCTTATAAAAAAGTACAAGAAGTTTATGAAACTCAATATATACCAAATATAGAGATGAATTCAGTTCAGAGGTATTTGAAACCACAAGTTATACCACAAGGATCAAGTAGAAGCTCCCTGGAGCCTAGGGAATTAATAATAACTAATAGAAAACTTTGAAGATTCACCTCCCAAATTTATATATATCATGAAGTGATGTTTTGTTGAGTTGTACACAACTCTTCCTCTAACACTTTTCATAAAGGAAGAGGAGATAAGGGCTCCTTGTAGATAGAGTCATCTTAAGCAGCTAGACAGGAATTATTAGGCCTGGGAGCTTTTGGAGCTTTGGATGAACCCTTCCATCATAATAGACGTTCTGACTCCACCTCTGGGTTTCCCTGGTAACTCCTGGAAAAAGAGTATTTTTATTGCTCCCTGAATATATAAATTCCCATATGAATAGTTGGGGGCTTCAGGACTTTGTTGAGGCCCATTAAAGGAAAGATACTTCCTCTTGGTCAAGACCTTCTGGCTTTGGGTAGAGATGACATTCTGATCTATTTCAGAGATTCAAACATTACATATTATTATTATCTTTTGTATTAAGCAGGAATCCTGCTGAACCTGTCAATCACGTAGTCAGGAGACAATTGCTCATGAAAACCAGCTCATTTGAGAAGATACTAAAGAGATGGGAGGAATAATCGTCTCCTTAATGAGAAAATGTATTTATCCTTCCCAATAGCCCTTCCCACGATGCAGCAGCTCACTGAGCCTTCAAAGGGCTGCACCGCTAAGTCTGTCTGCTTTTTTTCTTCTTCCATCGTTATGTCTTGTTTTTGTCTAGATCCTGGACGCATGTCTAAGCATGTTTTCCCATTCTTTCTCTAAAGTTCCTGTTTGCTTTCTTCAGTACAGCTGCTTGCTGATCAGTGCTGCACAGGTATGCACTGAAGGTTAAAGGCGTTAAAGATGAAATCCTAGTCTGATAAAGTTGCTAACCAAGAAGAAGAAAAACAGAGTCAGTCTTTCTGTCAGCAAGGACTGTGAGATGCAATCAATGGTGGCCGTCTGCAAACCTTGAGGCGTGCCCTCATAGAAATGAAATAACAGTGTTAGGGATTCTGAGGAAATATATTTCTGTTGTCTAAGCCATCTAGTCCAGAGTATTTTGTTATAGCTTCCCAAGCTAAAACAGTCACCCAGTGAGAGAGAAGAGCCGTATGGATTTGCACACGGTTTTGCTGGGATCACACTCACCATTAGTAGTCTGTCTCCTACTTGCAACCTTCCATCCTTCTGTGCAGCTCCACCGTCTATAATTTTGGTTACATAAATGCTGTTGTCTCCAGGAATGTGCTGGTTCCCCACCCCTCCAGCAATACTGAAGCCTAAACCTAGGGGGAAAGGAAGAGAAAATGAAAAGCGAAGGCAATTAGCTATACAACAACAGCAGAAAACGTTTTTAATTAGCTTATTTTTTCCCCTAATAAATGGCAGCGGGCATTCTGTTGAAGCTGACTTTGCTATCCAAATATTTGAAGGGCTTATTGACTTTGGTTAATGAAGCAAAGATCATTTAGTCAATCATATGTGAATTTCAATTTTGTTCTATTTGAAGACTGGGCTGCTCACCACTACTGTTCTCCAACTAATGAGTTCATGATGAGTAACTGGTCAGAACAAGGATGTAGCAAAGGATGCTGCTCTTATCCTCTTTGAGGTAAGAGTTGTGTTTTTGTGTTGACCCAGGAGAGGCACAGGTGCAGTTGTTGATTGTTCAGAGCCCAGGGCTCATCCTCATGGTCATTGCTACTCTGGTACAGAAAGGAGAGACTTCCTGATGCTTCCATTAATGTACAAGAAAATGTCTTGATTTATAATTTCCTTTGTTTCTTTAATATAATAAATTTCATGAAACTGCTTTTGCCCTGGAACATGGCATTTGGGGTAACCTAAATCTGTGTCCCCAGGCTGCTGCCATACATACTTGACTATGGAATAAACTGCTTCTTCTCCCCTTTGAGGTGAGAGTTCTATGTTTATATTCATCTAGGAGAAACACAGGAGCTGTCCTTGGTTGTAGAGAGCCCAGGGCACATATTCATGCTCGCTGTTACTCTAGAATACACAGAAGAACCACAGCCACTTTGGGGGGCACCTGGACCATCTTGATTGACATTTCAGGATAAAAAAGTACAGTTAGCGTGGCATCGTTCAGACTGTGAGATGATCCAAGGATACACTGGATGTTTCTATGCCGCCATTTCAGGAAGCTTATGAGAAAAAGACAAGAGATGCTATCTTTACATTTCTTCTTTGGTCATGTTGTCATATTGTTAAAATTTCTTGCAACTGGTGTTATCAACTAACTGTTAGGTTTCAGACCTGGGACAAAAGGCAAACGTGCCTAGTTTAACACATCAAAGCAAACCTGGCCCCCAGGTTCTTCCTGCACCCCCCAGTCTCTACTTGTTACAGAGTCCTTCCTGGCTTGTTACCCCTACCATACCCTAAAGTTCTCTAGCCCAGGGGATAGGCTGCCCTTCCCCCAGCTTCCTTTCTTTATATAATCCAGACATTTTTGGTTACTCCTCTTCATTTTGGATCTCCTGGCTGCTGCAGCTGGCTCCCCTCTCCCTTCTCTCCCCACATGGCTCTGGGTCATGTCCACTCTGGACTCTCCCACGTGTCTCTGCCTCTGGCTATGCTCTCCCTTTAATCTGAAATAAACATTTTTCTCCACCATACCTCGGAAGTTATGTCCTTCCTTTTTACTATTTATTTTTTATTCACTAACTGATAATCAAGCTATTGACAAAAAAAATGTGAATCACCCCCATATGTAGCCTTATGAACAAAACTACCCAGAAAAAAGCTGCATCTTTTAACAGAACCTTCTTCGAGACTAATTAACTGAGTAGAACTTCAGTGATTGTGGAGGGATTTGGAATGTTTCGAGTACGAAGAAAAAATACCTTGAGCTCTCCTTAGCCCTTACAACAGCCATTTATTGTTTGTCTCCATATATTATCTGACAGCTCTTGACCATTTGGTGACTCATTTGGGATGCATAAACAAACACGTGATTTCCACTGGAAGGAGTTAACTTCACAGTTCACTACCTTATACCGACCCCAGAGCTCAGAAGGTCATCAGATAGCATCCGAGGTCCATGACAGAACTTTCCAGCTTTGTTGTAACCCAGCTCCTCATGCTTCTACCAATGCATTGGAAAAGTGTCCTGATTTCTGACTTCCTTTGTTCTATTAAAAAATCCATGAAGTTGCTTCTGTGTTTGGATAGGGAATTTGGGATAACCTAAGTCTGTGTCCCCAGGCCATGGTCACCCATACTTGGCTACAGAACAAACCATTTGTTATCCCCCTTGAGGTGAAAGTTGTACTTTTGTGCTTAGAGTCTTAAGAATAAAAAATAGGATGCCTTTACTTTACTTTTTATAATGAATGGCAGAATATAAGATTACTTTAAACAGGAATCTTGTACTTTAAGAGATGAATTTTACTCTGGTTTGCAAAATGCTTATTTTAATTTAATTATGGAAAGATAGAGTAAGAGCAGAATTATCTACTGACTATGAAGTAATTAATTGTAAAGTGATGATTGATAGAGACTTTGAGAACATGATCCACTATATATTCAGTAAAATGCTTATAGCAATTTTTTTTCTAGAAATATAATTAACTTACAAGTTACTAAAAATTACAGAAAGAGAATAATCAATGTCCAGTGAAGTTAAACACAGAGTGTTGTGACTTTCTTGGCTTAAAAAAATTTAAAAAACATACAATTAAATAACTGATAAAGCAGTAATAATTTTTGGCACTTTATATAATAATAGGAACGTACTTTTATAAACATTAGCTCTCTTTCATTATGCTCTTAATTATTAATACAGAGAAAATTATATATATGTTCTTAAGACAACATAAATAATAGAAAAATGATGACTTAGTAAATTATTAAGTTATACCCTGAAATTATATTAAAATGTAATGGTTTTGTTAAGCAAACTATAATAGTTGTGAAAAGAAATGGAAAATGAATTCAAATTGATAGGGCAATTAAAATAAGCATTACATAATTTTCTACTGAAGTGGGTAATTATTTTTCATTGATACTTTGCCACCCCTTAGAACCCTGGATATATTTGTCTGCTTATGACTTAAAAGAATGTGTTTTCTAAGCCATGACCAAAGAATAAATAAAATGCCCATATGCTGGCTTTTTCTATGAACTTTAAGATGCACATTAGCTCCTACTGCCCAACAGGGCAATTTCACTGGATAAATGAGTGTAAGAACATCGTAAAAACATTTCTCAACCCTTCCACTGTCACGTGCAGTCTACTGCATTTGTAGCACAACAGAGGTCATTCCAAATACTGTATAGAGAAAGGTTAAACACACACCCAGGGACTCTGATTTACACCCACTAGGTGAGCAATAAATGTCAAAGACAATCTTGGTTCCTGAGAGCTATGGAACACATTACCACCATAAAGAAGATTAAGTCCCTCAAAGAGAGTAACTATATAGATGACATTTGAAGTTGAAGACAGCACCAAGACCATGAAATCACTATAAAAAAACTGTGCACATAAGTACATCAGCTGAAAGCTCTTCTCTCTCCTCTCTCTCTCTCTCTCTCTCTCTCTCTCTCTCTCTCTCTCCTTCCCTCCCTCCTTTTTTTCTTTCTATCTTTTTGAGATTAGGTTTATGTACTTTTTATCTAGTGACTCTACTCAAGGTGAAGTCAAGCACTTTTAGTACATAGATCTCTGAGACCCAGAGACTGTGTCTGATAGTTCACAATGAAATACATCTCTTATTTTGATTATATATGAATAAGTATCAACCAACACTTACTAAATATCAAGTATTTTTTAGGCATTATTCTTTTCATGATTCTTGTGTGTCTGTTGTTCAGCCTGTCCTTGAACTCATGACCTTCCTGCCTCAGCCTTCTGGGGACTGGAATGACAGGTGTGCATGCTATGTCTGGCTACATTCCAGATATTCACTCCAACATGGTACGTAATCTGAAACTTATGTCTGCATAAAGAAAATAATTTTACTTATACACAGAATTCTCAGTCTGTATTTCAAGATCTGATTCGGTCTCATTCATCCATTCATTCCTTCAATCATTCACTCATTCTTCCACACATTAGTTCATTCAACCAATATCTCCTAAATATCTTCTGTGGTTTTCTTGGTCTGAGACAGGGTCACATTTAGCACAGAACAGTCTCACATTCTTTATGAAGCCAATGCTGGACTTGAATTCCTAATCCATCTTTCTCTACCTCCAAGCTAAGAGGATTACAAGCATATATTTCAATGCCCATTCATTCTACTGATTATACAGCCAATTTCTGCCCATTACATTCAAGAAAGTCATTCTACTATATTTATCTTGGCTACAGCAGATAGCAATTGGCTAGACTACACTTTCTTAAGGTCTTACTCAAATATCAATCTCTGTAGAAGTCTGAATCTGATATTTCTATTCAATATTGTCCTTTACTATATATTCCACTGCGATGTTTAGATTTAATTGTCCAGTTGGTACAGTTCACACTCACCTAGAAGAGCAGACCTGAGGCAGCGACCTCCACAGGAGCAGGTACAAAGGAGCAACCACTAACCACTAAGGGAGCAGGCAGGAGCCAGAAATCTCTGCTGGACCAGGCCTAAGCCAAGGACATCTGTGGGAACAGGTCTAAACCAGCGACCTCCAATGGAGCAGGTATAAGGGAATGACTGCTGAGGGAGAAAGCCCAAGCTGTCAGAGACCTCTGCAGGACCAGATGAGAATCAAAATCAGCGACCTCCGGACCTCCGAGGGAGCAGGCTGTACCAGAGACCTCTGCCAGAACAGACCTGAGCCAGCAACCTCTGGCCCAAGGCAGCAACCTTAGCAGGAGCAGCCCCAAGCAAGCAACCTCTGTGGGAGCAGACCCGAATGACCCTCAGGTTTGCAGAGCAGCACCCAGGAGCACTGAGCAATACCCAGGAGCATGGAGTGACCTCTAGAACACCAAGTGACCTTCGGGGTGACAGGAACTTTGGCCCTGACTGCACCACAAGGAGCAACCATCTGAGTCTTGGATCCACTGGAACCTGGAAGATGGATCACCAGAGACACAACCCCAACTACACCAATTAGAGGAAGAGATGGGTAGACAAGGTAAGAAAACGATCACCTGGAGAAGCGAGTCTCAATGGAGAATTGCCTAAAATAGTTTCTATTTGGGTATGTCTGTGGGGCGTCATTTTGTTTATGTTAACTGATGTAGAAAAGTGGACAGTATTATTCCTTAGGGTTGGGGGTCTGGATTCTAAGCAAGGGGAGAAAGTGACATGAGTGTGAA